CCCTCCCTCCCTCCCTCCCTCCCTCCCTCCCTCCCTCCCTTCCTCTTTCTCTCTCTTTCCCTCTCTCTTTCTTTCCCTTCCTCCCTCCCTTCCTTTCCTTTCTTTCCCTCTTTCCCTTCCTTCCTTTTTCTCTCTTTCTCTTTCCCCCCTCCCTCCCCCCTCCTTTTTTTCTCTCCCTCCCTCCCTCCTTTCCTTCCTTTCTTCCTTTCAAGGTAAGTAATACCCACACCCAATGTGGGGCTCAAACTCATGACCCCGAGATCAAGAGTTGCCTGCTCTGCTGACTGAGCCCGCCAGGTACCCCAGAATCTCTAGTTTCTCTTAGTGGCAGAAAAGGTATTTCAGGTGCTTGGTGCTCATTGCTGTGGGGTTGGTCTTTGCTTCTAGGCCTCTCCTGGGAACAGAATTATAAAACACATACACGTTTTATAGATCAAATATGTTTAAAGATAAAATATTTGAGTTCTTGTTGATATTCCCAATAGAAAATGGGGACTTCAGAGTACCTAACTCCTCTATTAGGTCTGTGTCTCCTGCACTGAGAGTCCTGGGGTAGGTACTCCTTCGTTATGAGCTTGCTTTTTCCGTTTAACATGCAATGTGTGCATGCGAACACGTACGTTCCGTATCGTAGTGGGAACAGTGCTGGGTGCATGTTTTCGGCTGGTACGCGATAGCAGCTTCCCCTCTTGCCCCCATCACTCTTCTGGGCATTTAGCGGCCACGCAGCCCGTGGTTGGTCCATGTGCTCTTGCTCCCCGAGCTCCCCGTGTGGACCTTCGTTTGCTTTATGCTTGAAAGCAGTTTTGTAGGATAGGAAATCCTTGGCTCACGTTTTCTTTCCTTGAGTATCTGAAATATTGGTTTTGTTATCTTCCAGCATGAAAAGTCTGAGTCTTACTTTCCTCCTTATAAGTCATGTCCTCTTCGCCTGGGTGTCCAAAGGCTTGGGTTTTTTGTCCCCGTCTCTCCAGTCCTTACTGTGTCACTGTGTCACACGTTGGTGGCCCACAGTCAGAATTTGCAGGAATGCGGTGGGCTCTCTGCACATGGGTTTCCAGATCGGCTGTTTCAGGAAGCTTTCCTTGATTTGTGGCTTCGAGTTCTGTTCTTGGTTGAGTGTTCTCTGGCGCGGGGCCTTGTCTGCATGGTAACGCGGAGCTCAGCCATCCTCGGTGCTTTGCTCTCCCTCCTGAATCTCTTTTGTCTCCGGTTTCCTCTGTTTTAAAGGTTGTCCGCCTGCTGATGCCCTGTCTCTGAAGGTGTTTACTGTCTCCATTTGCTCTCCGTTCTCACTTCTGAGAGTACTTGTCTTGTCTTTCTACTTTTCTTGAGCTCTGTCACCTTATTTCTGGTATTTTCTAGCACTGACTTGCCGCCCTCCCATCTTGGATCTCATTGTTTGGATGCTGTGAAGCCGCGCGCGCATTTGGACCTGTTCCGTGGCTGTGTCTGTCTGGAGCGCTCTCACTGTCTGCAGGCTTTTATTCCACTTTTGTTTTTTCTTAGAATAGCTCTGCATGCGACTGACACTCCTGTCGCTCATTTTCCTAAACATTTAGTTCTGGTCGTTTTTCTCACTTCACAGGGCTCTCTGCTCTGTTGGATCTTGAATGACACTGAACGCGTGGCGGTGGCTCCCGGCGTTCTCCCGGCTCTCGCCCTGACCCGCTTGCATCGGGTCCCTCTCCTTCCCGTCTCTTGTCCCTGACCTGCTGGTGCTGGCCGCGTTCCCGCCACATGGGTCCCTGCCAGGTCAGCCACGGTGGATCTCGGGCCCCATGGCTCCAGCCCTCAGGCCTTGAAGAGGGTCCCTTGCACCCAGCACCACCGGGGCGGGGAGAGCCACCCCACCACGCTTCGCAGTGGACACCCGCCGTTTCCTTTGGGGTTGTCTGTACCGGGGCCCGGCAAGACCCAGGGGCCCCGCGGTGCTTTCCCCCAGGGCATGCAGGCCGAGCTGGGCGCACTGTGCCCTTCGCTGCTGTGCCTTGGCTTTGTGGGGTGGCCGCACCGCTCTGCTTTGCAGCGGCTTCTGGGAGGTGTGATCGGCAGGCAGCGGAGGGCGCGTGTGGAAGCGGGCTACCCTCTCGTCTGGGGAAGTGGCCCGGGCGGCCCGGCACCCCCAGGGCTTTCTCACGCCACTCTGAGCTCCTTCCCTCCCCGCCCCCGCCCCCAGGCGCCCTTCCAGCTGCTTTCCCTCACTGTGATTATTTGCACCCCCCCCCCCCCCGCCGCCGCCGTCGTCTGCGCTGCGGGGAACAAAGTGGCCGTGCACGCTGACGTCCTGGTCTCTCTGGAGCGTGCGCTCTGGTCTCTCCCAGTGGACTGGCGGGTCGCCCGGGTGGGGGGTGCCGATGCCGACCTTCCCGCCAGCAGGGCAGGAGACTTGCGGGTTGCTCCGCGTCCCTGCCGTCCCGCTGCAGGTGAGGACACAGGAGGGTCCAGGAGCGCCCTCCCCGCTGCCCCCGCCGTCCCCCGCCGCCTGGTGGCGTTTCAGTTGGGCAGCGCTGCCTCACGGCCCGGGGCTGGAGGCACGGCGGAGAGGCTGTCTCCCGAACCTTCCGGTCCACTGTGGGGCGTGCACCGGGCACGCGCCGTCCGTGCAGAACAGCAAGTGCGGGGCTCCGGGTGGGAGGCGGCCCAGCCACTTGTAGTGAGGACAACACTCACAGAAGCGGGTTCCTCCTGCCGGTGACTGACACACAGCCGCGTCGTTACAGCTCTGAAGTTGTGGTTCCATCTGCTCTGTCAGCCCCAGAGACATGTGAAGGACTGCGGTGTAGACCACGCGGTGCTCTGCGTTGTGAGGGACTGCTGTGTAGACCTGGCGGTGCGCCGCATCGTGAGGGACTGCCGTGTAGACCTGGCGGTGCGCCGCGTCGTGAGGGACTGCTGTGTAGACCAGGCGGTGCTCCATGTCGTGAGGGACTGCCCTGTAGACCAGGTGGTGCGCCGCGTCGTGAGGGACTGCCGTGTAGACCAGGTGGTGCGCCGCGTCGTGAGGGACTGCCGTGTAGACCAGGTGGTGCGCCGCGTCGTGAGGGACTGCCGTGTAGACCAGGCGGTGCTCTGTGTCGTGAGGGACTGCTGTGTAGACCAGGTGGTGCTCCGCATCGTGGAGGACTGCCTTGTAGACCAGGTGGTGCGCCGCGTCGCGAGGGACTGCCGTGTAGACCTGGCGGTGCGCCGCGTCGTGAGGGACTGCTGTGTAGACCTGGCGGTATTCTGTATCGTGATGGACTGCCGTGTAGACCAGGCGGTGCGCCGTGTCGTGACAGACTGCTGTGTAGACCAGGCGTTGTGCCGTGTCGTGAGGGACTGCCGTGTAGACCCAGTGGTGCTCCGCGTCGTGAGGGACTGCCGTGTAGACCTGGTGCTCCGCATCTTGGAAGAGACCGGGTTTTCAAAAGCAGCTGCTGCTCTCAAAACGTGCTCTTAATGCTTTGTAGACGGAGGCTGGTAAAGTGTTCTGGTGCCTTCCGTGCAGAGCGACACGGTGGCTCCGTCGTTGGACGGCTCTGTGGTGTCTTTCGGGACAGGCTCATGGAATACAGACCAAACTCATCGAGTCCGGAAACCTGGTTCCTGGGCAGCCTGCGCAGTGGTGAAGCGGCGCCGGTGAGGCCGTGCTCATTTCTATGGGGGTCTGTCCCGTCAGGTGAGCTTGGGGCCTTCGGGCGCACGTCTTTAAAAGACCGTGGTGTGCGTTCCTAGGTGTGTCCTTAATCGTCGAACCCTGGAAGTTCTGGAACGACGAGGGGCAGCTGCTCAGTAGCGGCCCCCTGTCTGTGAGTGGCGGGCGGGCTCCGGCACTGGGTCACGGCACGGGTCAGAACCGGGCACCCGGCTCCGCCACAGGCCGCCGCGTTGCAGTGCAGACCCTGCTTTTGCCAAACATCGGAAGGCCCAGAGGCTGACCTGCCTGAGGCATCGCTGCGATGGACTGAGTGACTGTGCCCCCCAAGTTCACGTGTCGAAGCCCTAACCCCCGTGTGACTGGTATGGAGATAAGGGGCCCGTAGGGAAGTAATTCAGGTTAAACGAGCTTGCTTCCTGTCTGCCCAGGAAAGAGGAAGGGCCATGTGAGGGACCCAGTGAAGCCAGGAAGAGAGCCCTCCCCGGGAACCAGATCACTGACACCCTGACCTTGGATTCCTGGTCTCTAGATTGTGAGAAATCAGCAGTTAAGTCCCCCAGCCCACGGCCTTCTGTCCAGCGGCCTGAGCGAGGTCCCCAGCCATGACTGTGTCTGAGACCCGTCTTCTACCCTCTCGTTTGCTAACTCACCTGTGCCTTCCGTGCGGCCAGCGTGACAGCTGCGTGAGCCAGCGTGCGGGGTCCTTCTGAGCTTGTCTGCGCTGTGGATGCGTCAGTGAGGCAGCGTGGCTTTGCAGGTGATGGGTTTTCCCCAGATGTAACTGTTAGGTTGGTAGCATCCACATTGTTTTACTGAAGCCTAGAAAACCAAAAATAAAAATTAAGAAATGTGACTACAGAGAGGTGAAATGAGTACTCCCATATTTGGTCTGTGATTTGTCTTAAACTGGAAAAATGCCTAGTTATTTAGATGCATGAACCTCGACATCGGTCGGGACCTCCTCTGTGACAGGCCCCAGTTAGTTGATTGGTCTGCTTAAAGCTATTCAGTCAGACTTCGGGAAAACTAAGAGAAGAGATCAGTGAAATGTGTATTTTCCAGTAAGTCCTTGTTTTCCATTTTCAGAGCCAGCAGGTGATGAGCAGTCAGGTCTGCTCTGGTGTCTGAGCATCTGCTGGTGATCTTTTTTTTTTTTTTTTTAAACATTTTGGTTATTTATTTTTTTTTAATTTCTTTTTAATGTTTTATTTATTTCTAGGAGAGAGAGAGAGAGACAGCATGAGCAGGGGAGGGTCAGAGAGAGAGGGAGTCACAGACTCTGAAACAGGCTCCAGGCTCTGAGCTGGCAGTCAGCACAGAGCCTGACGCGGGGCTCGAACCCACGAACCGCGAGATCATGACCTAAGCGAAAGTTGGATGCTTAACGGACTAAGCCACCCAGGCGCCCCGATTTGGTTATTTTTGAAAGAGCATGAGCGGGTTAGGGACAGAGAGAGAAAGGGACAGAAGATCTGAAGTGGGTTTGTGCCCGGGGCTCAAACTCAAACTGAACCATGAGATCATGACCTGAGCCGAAGTCAGACCCTCAGCCGACCAGGCCACCCAGGCGCCCCCATTTTTTGAATTAAATACCCGAGCAACACACGAAAGCCCTGCCTTGAGGCAGACGGCAGTGAGCGCCCTTAGGTGCGGAGGACCAGGCCCGGGGCCCTGCAGGCTGTGAGCCGGACCCGCAGTGCAGCGCCCGGCACCGCGCCTGTGGCTGCTTCGCTGTGTCAGCAGAGGCCTTCGAGGCCCCTGTAGCGTCATCAGCTGTCCCTCCTGCCTCTGGGCCCTTCTGCAGGCACAGCCACTCCTGCAGGTCCCCCTGCCCCCCACTCCCTGCCACACTGACCAGCAGATGACCTCACTGAGGGCACCATGCTGCCCAGGCCCTTGGCACCTCAGGGTGCTGCCTCGGGACCCCATCCGTGACACGTCCGCTGCGCCCGTCTCCACAGTCTGCCGCCCACCGTCCCCGGGTAGAGCGGCCTGGGCCCAGGTCGGTCCCTCGAGACATAGCCATAGGGGCTGTGGCACCTCCACGTCCGCTGGAACCTCGCATGGCGTCTGCTGGTGCAGTGACAGCACTGCCAGCCAGGCCTTGGGCTCATCGGACAGTGAAGCCTAGTGACCTGCCTCGGCTGGGGTCTGTTCCAGAACTGTAAATAATCTTTTTTTTTTTTTTTAATTAAAAAAATTTTTTTTTTAAATTTATTTCTAGGAGAGAGAGAGAGACAGCATGAGCAGGGGAGGGTCAGAGAGAGAGGGAGACACAGAATCTGAAACAGGCTCCAGGCTCTGAGCTGGCAGCACAGAGCCCAACGTGGGGCTCGAACCCACGAACTGCGAGATCATGACCTAAGCGAAAGTCGGACGCTTAACTGACTAAGCCACCCAGGCGCCCCCAGAACTGTAAATAATCTTGTTCAGGTTTTAATTTTTTTTTTTTTTAATATTTTTATTTATTTCTAGGAGAGAGAGAGAGACAGCGTGAGCAGGGGAGGGTCAGAGAGAGAGGGAGACACAGACTCTGAAATAGGCTCCAGGCTCTGAGCTGGCAGTCAGCACAGAGCCCGACGCGGGGCCCGAACCCACGAACCGCGAGATCATGACCTAAGCGAAAGTCGGACGCTTAACCGACTAAGCCACCCAGGCGCCCCAAGATTTTAATTTTTAAAAAGTTCTTGGGGGTTTTCCTTTTTTCTTTTTAAATGTTTATTTTGAGACAGAAAGACAGCGGGGGAGGGGCCGAGAAAGAGGGAGATAGAGAATCCCAAGCAGGCTCCATGCTGTCAGCACAGGGCCCCGTGGGGGTCTCAGGCCCACGAACTGTGAGGTCATGGCCTGGGCGGAAATTGAGGGATAGCTGCCTACCTAGTGAGCCAGCCTGCCCCTCAGCAAGGGGCTTTCTTAAATGTTTGCCTGTGCTAATTCGTCTCTCTTCACCTTCTCCTTATTATTGAATAGGTAGGTCTTCTTTTCCCCAAAGAAGCTCACCAGACTGGGAGGTGGGGGGGAGAGTTACAGAAGGGGGTAGGAGATTATAGACAAAAGACTACAAGCAGAGTGTCGCTTGGTTGGGGAGGGATTTCTCCCTCTAGCAGTCGCCCCACCCCGGGGTGGGGGGTGTTTGTCAGTTCCCGCAGTGAGAGTGGTGCCTTTTGTTTCCTGTTTGTTAGCGCGGGATGGGCAAGTCCTTCACTGACATGATTGGGTGGCAAGAGAATGAAACGCAAAAAGAGAAATTGAAACTAAAACAAGGAATGTTAGAGGCTCTGTGGCCCTCTCCCCAGTGTGCCCCAAAGAAGCACAGCCTTTATGGGTTGTTTTTTTTTAAAGGCTCTGAAAACGGTTCTTGGATTATTCAGTCATAACTCCGTGGCCACCACCTTGTCCCCATTCAGTGTGGCCCATGTCTTTCCCTGGGGCTGTGTTGCTGGCCGCCCTCATGGGCCATCTGTCTGGGGCTCCCCCCAGGGCCTCTCCCTGAACCGCACGCACTGGCTCGTGGCTGTGGGGACATGACAGCGTGTCTTCCTGCCAACTCCCTTTGGAACCTGTCCTGTGAATGACACCCAGACACGAGAGGCGGGGTCTCCTGTCCTTGTCCGCGGTGAGGGCAGGGGACGGTTCCCCTGACAGGCCCATCGTAATCTCATCTACCTGGGGGGACACCCTACTTGTGTGTGATCCCCAGAGAGAGCGAGGCCACTCCGGGTCACATGTACACGTGTGTGCATGCGTGTGTCCATACCGCTTTTCAGAAACCTTTGCATTTTTCCTAAAAAGCATCTGTAAGTCTGTCCTGTGCTAGTGTTACGTCTCCCTACATCTTCCCTGGAGATACTGTGTTTCATCTTTGCCAAGGCCCTTTACCACGCTGCCTGCTCTGACTGACGTTTGAGATTTCTGGAGAGGTTGGACATCTTTTTATAAATCTGTATGGTTTCCCACTTAAAGAAGGTAACAGCACACTTTTTATTCAAGCCTCTTTAAAGGTACTTGAGAAAAAGAAACAGACGTACGGCATGTGACTATACTTGATAATACCATATGATATACTTGACGTTTGTTAAGAGTAAAACCTTTTTTTAATTTTGAGAGCGAAAAAGCCTGAGTGGGGGAGGGGCGGGGGGGGGGAGAGAAAGAGACGATCTCATGCAGGCGCTGCCCTGTCAGCACGAAGCCTGACGTGGGGCTCCAATTCCTGAACTGTGAGATCCTGACTTGAGCCCAAGTTGGAAGCTGAACTGACCTGAACCCCCAGGCGCCCCTGCTAACAGTGAGTCTTAGGCGCCGTCATGCACACGTGCAAATAAAAGTTTACCTGTGAGGTGATGGATGCTTAATCAACATGATCAGGATAATCATGTTACAGAGTGTATGTAAATCAGCACATGGGCTAAAATAGATCCACATAAGTATAGTCACCTTATCGTTGACGGAAGAGCAGAGGCAGTACAATGGAGCAAAGGTAGTCATTTCAACAAACTGCTACAAGTTGCTAGGAAACTGCATCCACAGGCAGAAGAATGAACCTAGACCCACACCTGACATCCTTCACAAAAATGAACTCAAAACGGATCATAGACCTAATATAAAACACAAAACCATAGAACTTCTAGAAGAGATCATAGCAGGAAAGTTAGGTGCCCTTGGGCGTGGCGATGCCTTCTTAGGTCCAACACCAAAGACACGGTCACGAAAGGACTTGTACTCTGTACTTGTTAAAATGAACAACTTCTGTTCTTGAAGGACACTGGCGAAAATGAGAAGACAAGCCACGGACTTAGGGAAAATATTTGCAAAAGACACATCTGAGGACGGGCTGTTACCCAGACGTACAAAGGACTCAAAACTCCAGAACAAGAAAACAAATGACCAACCAGAAAATGGATCGGTGACCTTGGCAGAGACCCACCAAAAATAGAAGGCCGAGAAGCACGTACAGACCCTCAGGGAAAAGCAATGTGCAACAACGTGGTACCGCCACGCGCTCATCAGAATTGCCCAAATCAGAACCCTGCCACCACGGGTGCTGGTGGGGCCGCGAGGCTCCCTCCTTGCTGCTGGGGACGCGGAGTCACGCAGCCACTTAGGTGGACAGTCTGGCGGGTTCTTACAAAACGAAAACTCTCACCATACGACCTGGCGTCGCACTCTTGGTACTTACCCCGACCTGAAAACCTCTGTCCGCCCAGAACCTGCACACGATGTTTACGGCTTTATGTGTGATGGCCACACCCGGGGGGCTGCCCGGTGCCTGGCCGAACGCCCTGGGACACCCACCTTCAGTCACGAACAGACGTGGGGGAACCGTAAATGCGCACTGCCGCGTGAAGGCATCGGATCTGAAAAGGCTACAGATGATTCCAACTCTGGGACATTCTGGAGAAGGTAAACCTGCGGACACAGAAGGTGAGTGGTGGCGGGGGGTGGGGTGGGGGCCGAGGGAGGGGTGAGGTGGGGCGCACAGGAGTTTGGGGCTATGACACCGCCCTCTGTGCTCCCTCGGTGTTGACCGGCTTCATTACCGTTTGTGCAGACCCACAGACGGCACAGGACCACGAGTGAGCCCTCCGGCAAACTCGGGACGCCGGGTGATGATGCCTCGGTTTACCTTTGTCAGTTAAAACACATCGACACTCTGGTGGCGGGGGCTCTAGGGGAAATCTGTACCTTCCTCTTAACTTTGCTGTGAACCTAAAACTCTAAAAGAAAAAAGTGTGTTAAAAATCATGTACGTTTACATATGTACATATTATTTGTCAATTGTGGCTCAATAAAGCTGGGGGGCCGCCTGGGGGGCTCAGTCAGTTAAGTGCCCGACTTCGGCTTCGGTCATGATCTCGCGGTTCAGGAGTTCGAGCCCCACATTGGGCTCTGTGCTGACAGCTCTGACCCTACAGCCTGCTTTGGATTCTGTGTCTCCCTCTCTGCCTCTCCCTGCGTGTGCACATGCTCTCTCAAAAATAAACATTAGGGAAAAAAAAAAAGGGAGCGACTGTTGATGTGCAGCTCCTGGGTCATGTCCCGGCTCCTGTAGTTTGGTGCCGCTCAGACGGGCAGGGACTTGTGCCAGACCCGGGTGGGGTGCTTGGGTTGCGCAAGGGGGGAGCCCCGGAGCTGGTGAGGAACAGATCCCAGGGCCCAGGCGAGGCTGGAGGGAGTGGAAGCCAGGCACCAGCAGGCCACGGAGTCCTCCCATGTCTCCCTGCCGGCCACAGCAGGGAGGTGCTGCTGGCTCGGAACCCGGACCCCAGTGTCTCCGCTCGGACCTCTGACATGTCTGTGTCTCAGACACAGGCCCCCACCCCAGGTCAGCGCAGTCCACCCGCCACAGCCCCGTCCTCCAGGCTGTCAGGCTGCCGCCCCAGAACACCCCTGACCACCCCGTGCCTCCCATCCCTGCGTCGTCAGCCCTGGGTGGCCTTAATGCAGAAGGACCCAGAATCTGGTCATTCCCACCACGCACACACAGGGTCCTGACCGGAGCCCCGACCTCTGTCACTCGGACGATTGCAGTCGCCTCCTCTGCCTTTCTCGCTTCTGTCTCGCCTGCCCTACGGTTTGTTCTCAGAAGCCTGGCTCCCATCACACCGCGTGGCCGAGAGTGCCACACGCCCGGCCCTGCTGCCCTCCGGCCTCCCCCCTGCTGCCCCAGCTGCCGCCCGCAGCCTCCGTGGTCCAGGACCCAATGCCCCAGGCCGCGTGCTGACCATTCAACTCTGCTTCCGCCAGATGTTTGGGCTCCGCCCTCCTTCCCTTGGCTGCGCACCTGGCCTCTACCCCGCAGGCCCTCCGGTCCCACCCCATCTCCCTCCCTCTCCTCTCCCTCCCTGACCGTCCTCCCCCCCCGCCCCCCCACGGCCGTCACTTGTTATCCCCCTTTCCCTGCCTTCTGCTCTGCCTCCCTGTCTAAAGGGTCACATGTGCCAAGGTCACGGGATCCTCGCTGCCAGATATTCGGCCCATGAGGATCTGTCACCGCGGCCCAAACTTTATTTCCCACGCGAGTGAGATTTGCTTTCTGGACTATTTTCCAAGTGCCAGTATCTATTACTTACACGTTCCTGTGGTTTTTATTCCTAAGACCTAGTCCGGGTGCTTGTATTGTTTGCTGTTCTCATGTTTCTGCTTCCCTGCCCCCCCCCCCCAACATTGGGGGTGTTAGAGTCAAAAGCAGAGACCAGCCTTGAACATCCCCTGAGGAGACGAAACCAGTTTGGTTATACAAACAAAGATTAATTTAGGTTATTTTGCAAGATGAGCCTGACCTGGGTCATTTCTCGCTTATGCCCCTGGAAATCATGGACAAGACTCCACTGTTTCCCAGAAGTTGCCGTGAGCTAACCACTAACCACTTCTGCATCATTAAAGAAGTTCTAATATCGTGACGACTCCCTGTGAACTGCAAAGTCCGTGTCTCCTCACCACCTACGCGGCTGCCTGGCAATGTGCCCCTGAGCCCTGTCCGTGCTTCGGTTAAGCGCTCCCAGCTTGGAAAGGGTCTTTTTGGCAAACGCACAGTACATTTTTACTAATTCCTACCTCAGTCGTTCCCCGCACGTTTGTCAGTGCTCAGCAAAGAATGTTGTGTGGGATGTTTTTGGAATTAGTGTATGCCCCCCCTCAAATGAAAAAGTTTTGTCACCCTTAATGTCTTCATTACGAGCCTCACCACTTTCCAGAAGAGAGCATAGGAGGTCCCCTCAAAATTTTGACCTCCAAAGGCTTTTTACTAATCATGTCTCTCAACTATATGACCTGGGGCACGCCTGGGGGAGAGTGTCATCGTAGCAAGCGTTTGGGGGACAGTATGAGCGCAGGCGTGATGACACCTGGAGAATGAGACGGGTCCGCACAGCAGAACAGACCTGTGGTTTTATTTTCATCCCGGAAGCACTAGGACCTGGATCAGGGACTGAAAGGCTGTAGGCTGTACTAAGTTCGTCCCCAGGGAAAGAGCCTCGGGCCTAGGATTGTCTTCTGTCTTCTTTCAAAGACAATTAAGATGAAGGTAAATGCTCTCTTTAGTTAGTGAGACTGTCATCTGCTGACCGTGGCCTCCAGGTGGCGGCGGCTGACAGCTGCCCCTTTGATAGGAAATCTGCTCGTCGCCCTTTTTTTCAGTTATGAAAAGTTCACGCACATATGGCTTGTTTCTTAATTCAGAATCACAGCTGTTTGTAAAAATCACTGAAATTGTTCAAATATACACGCAAGAAGATTAGTCTTGTGAACGTCCACACATCTCTGTTACCCAGTTTCGTTGTGTGAAAGTCTCCTTCAGTGAACTTGCCAAGTTGTAGGATATGGGATGGTCCCCCGGCTTTTCCTTCTGGAAGTCCTGTGTCAGCCCTACGCTCATTTCTAGACAGGCCCTTGTGTTTCACGGCCGCCCTCCATGTTTAGCCCTTTCCTTTAAATCACCAGATTTTATCCTGGTGCTTCGGCTGCTGGCACGTCTTCCCTTATTTATGACGCTCGCTCTCCCTAGCATTTCCTGTTCTCCAGAAAGCCCTCCAGGCTTTCCCTATAGTAGACACGAGCTGAGTTTGGGCCCTGACGGGAAAGTTGTTCAGACACAGGCTGCCCTGTGGGGCTGTAGGCGGTGAGGAGCCAGTGAGGAGCCGCGGGGCACAGGGCCTGAGGTTGCAGGGGGCGGGGACGGTCTGCTGTCCTCAGAGAGACACCCAGCAAGTAGGAGGGCCTTGGGGCCCTGTGTTTGCCAACGTCTGGTTGTCTGCCCAGCCCTCCTCCTCTCGGGGTCCACCTTTGTCCGAAGGGGCTGCCAGGCCCAGCCTCCCCGGGTGGCGCCTGTGTGGCCACCCAACCTGACCTCGGGCTTCCGCAGAGATCCAAGGGGTGGACACGTGGTTCTGACTGGGCCATCTAGAATCTTCCATGAGACTGGCTCTCAGGGCACCACATAAAAGAGCTCCTTTTTCATGAATTACAGGTGAGCCTGGTCGGAGAGCCCCAGGGGGCTGGCTTTCCTGTACCGGCAGGAAGCTCCTTATGGGAGGTGAGAGGTGACCCGGTGCTCGGGGAGGAGAGCTGAGGCCGGGAAAGAGGGGGCCGTCAGCATCGTCTGAGCCCCAAGTCCCGTCCTCCTGGAGGCGAGGCCCCCAGGCCTCCATGAGAGCCACCCTGCCTTCCCTCAAGCCCTGCTGTCCCCAGTGGCCTGCGGTGCCCAGAACCGCGAAGCTGAGCGGTGGGCTCCTGAAGCACGAGGGGGTGCGATGGGCCCTCGCTGTGCCGAGCAGGGTGGTGAGGGGACAGTGGCCGTGCTGGGGCAGCTGCTGACGCCCACACGACACTCCTGCCCGGACCTGCCGCCGCGCCTGCTCAGCACACACTTCAGCAAAGCAGCCTGACGGACAAAAACGAAACCCAGCTTCTCTTAAGAGACATGTGACTAGATGATGAAGCTGTAAACAGTTGTGAAATCTCGACGTCTGCTTAGAAGTGTAAATACATCTCTGCTATGAACCCATGTGTGGGGGTCGCTGGAGAGAGACCCGTACGATTGGCTTACAGGCCGAGCCCGCCCCCAAATCACCATTGCGGTTCCAGCCAGGGTGCCCAGCAGCCACTTTCTCAGCATTGAACGAAGCGAGCCTGCCGTGGCAGTCTGACTTTTCTCAGCGCCTGGTGGCAGCCAGGCTCGCGGGGCTGCCGGAACCCAGACGGGAACATTAAATGCGAGGCCCTTACTGAGGTCACGACTACGACGGCTGTGCCGTGCAGAACCCTCCCTTCCCTGCCAGACACAAACCTGTGACCGTTTCCTAAGGCCTAGCCAGCTGTCGGGGACTCTGGGCCTGGAGTTCCCGCTTGTCCTGCAAGAGAGTGGACGCAGGATTGAAATGCGAGAGAGGCCAGTGTCCCAGAGGAGACGGGCCCCGCGGAAGGGGCCTTGTTTGGAAGGCTCACAACTTGGTCATGGACGTGCACACAGAGACAATGGAACCTTGACCGCCAACTCATGGGTGTGAGGGGAAGGGGGTTTTGAAGATTTGCTCTGTTAGGGGTTTGGGTCGATGGGTGGAAGGTGAGGCCCCACCTCTGTTTACCTAAACTGGCCTGGGGGGACCAGACAGGCCGGCACCACTGACTCAGGATCAGCAAGGCACCTTTCTTTTGCTAATTAGCTCCACCTGCAAGGGTCTGTAGCCCTGTTTACCTGTTTACCTATTTGGTATCCTTCCTGTGAAAGCGGCTTTCTGCTACAGTCCTGAGGTGGGGGGCGTTTCCCCCTGAACACCTAATCTTGATACCTCCTCTTGGATACTGGCATTCTGAGATCCCTATTCCTATATCTTCTCCTGTCCTGGGGGCCTTTGCCCTGTTTACCCAAACAGGGTGTGTTCCTCTCGTGATTCTTTAATTCTCTGTGCCTTGTTAACCCATCTGCAGGCTCAGGGATTTCCTAAGCTTATTCCCGACACCTAGCTACTGAGGACTGTCATGCTTGAGTCAAGGTTATTCTCCTTGCCCCTGTAGAGTTTATTTTACTGTCTCTTTAAAAGTGGTCCTAGCTACCATCAAATTTAAGAATCCTAATTCCAGGGGCGCCTGGGTGGCTCAGTTGGTTAAGCGTCTGACTTGGGCTCAGGTCATGATCTCACTGCTTGTGGGTTCGAGCCCTACATCGGGCTCCGTGCCGACAGCTCAGAGCCTGGAGCTGCTTCAGATTCTGTCTCCCTCTCTCTCTGCCCCTCCCCCACTTGCTTGCGTGTGTGTGTGTGTGTGTGTGTGTGTGTGTGTGTGTGTGTGTGTGTGCATGTGCACGCTCTCAAAAATGAATAAGTGTTTAAAGAAATTTAAAAAATCGTAATTCCTGGGAAACAGTGACATTCACTAACTGTGCTCATACCTAAAACATGGACAGCTGGTAAATAAAAGTGGGCAGGTACCACTTTTTTTTTTTTTTAAATAATGCTTTTTGGGGGAGAGCGCAAGCGGGGGAGGGGCGGAGAGAGGGGCCAGAGGATCTGTAGCATACGGGCTCTGTGCTCACAGGCTGACAGCAGCGAGCCAGATGTGGGGCTTGAACTCACAGACTGTGAGATCATGACCTAAGCTGAAGTTGGATGCTCAACCGACTGAGCCACCCAGGTGCCACTGTTTTTAACCATTTTCAGGCTCTGCTCAGGCACTGTGACAGTGAGTAGGGACAACATGGAGACCTATGAATGTGGTAAGCAGCATTTTGAGATTTCCACCCGTTGGTGTGCAAGTCTGTATCAGACCCTTGAGTGCAGGTGGAGCTGTGAGTCTGGCTGCTGGTGAACTGACTGACCCTTACTGCACGTGTAACTGAGGCCCCAAACCACTGGACTCGGAGTTCATCAAAATGGAGAGTATCTTTGGCAAGCCTGAACTAATCAGGCAACATCTCTTGGAGAGATTCAGAGGGATAAAGCCTTTCCCGTTGGCTTAGAGAAGTAAGCTTCTACATTACGGGCAAAGGACTGAGGGCATCTTCTGGACATGGAGAGTGGCTCTGGGTCATCAGCCAGTAAGGAAATGGGGACCTCAGGTTGATAAAGCAAGTTCTGCCAGCAGCCTGCTCCGGCAAGGATGTGGCCCCAGCGACCCTGACCGCAGCTTGGGAGCCGCTGAGTAGGGGGTGAGCCACGCCCTGGCCACACTTCCCGCCCGCAGAACTGTGAGCCCTGGGTCATATTCCAAGGCTGTGTGGGGGGCGCAGAGCAAGTCCCACTTCTCCACGGGCCCCTGGCATTCCTGCACTCCCAGTGGGAGACGAGGCGTGGTCAGTGTGTCCCTGGAGCACGGTGGCGTGCCCCTGCCCAGTACAGTAAGGATCTAGGCTCCTACGCTCCGTGCAGCCCACTGGTCACTGGTGTCTGCTAGTCTCTTTGCGGACCTAGGAGGAGCCGGTGCAGCGACGGTGACGCTGGTCACTGCTGTCGAGTCCTGCACTGGGGCTGCCCTCTGACCCCGGGCACTCATGTGTTCCGCCTGTGTGTGCGAGCTTCTGGTAGGCTCCCTTGCTGGCTTGTTAGCGTGAAATCTCTGACCCTTCAAAGCTCTCCCCACAGGCCAGGGGAATAAATAAATTTTTAATATTATTGGGATAAAGCATGGCCAGCAGATTCCAGCCTGATGCCTGTTTTTGTATGTTCTGTGAGCTAAAAATGGTTTTTACATTTCTTCTTTTTTTTATTTTGAGAGAGCGCGTGTACGCGAGAGAGAGACAGAGAACATGGGAGGGGGCACAGAGAAGAGGAGACAGGGAATCCCAAGCAGGCTCCCTGCTGCCAGCGCGGAGCCTGATGCAGGGCTCGAACCCACAAACCGTGAGATTGTGACCTGAGCTGAAATCAAAAGTCAGATGCCTCACCAGCTGAGCCACCCAGGCGCCCTGGTTCTCGCATTTCAAACTGGTTGTTACTGAAGGACCATCTGCTCTGCCTGATTCTGCCTCTTGGCACGCAAGGCCTGAAAGACTTTCGCAGAGTAAGTGTGTCGCTGGTGCAGCTGAGCGTCCACAGCCTTCATGTCGCAGCGGCTCGGGGCCCCTGGTCTCCCGCTTTGCCATGTCCCTGCCCGCTCTGCGTGGGCCCCTGGGCCGGGAGCCGCGCACAGAGCCGGGGTGGGGGGCGGGGTGGGTAGCGGTACAAGGGCAAGTCGGCAAGGGGACCATCTGTCTTTTGAAACATCTGGACAGATTCGCCCCAGGCTGCCTACTTCAGGGTGATAAATTCTGGTTGCAGAACATAGATTTTGGCTGCTGCTGGCTATTCTGCTGGAAGTAGTTCAGTTTCAGAAGCCTGCCTTCCCTTCAGAGGAGGAATCCCGAAGGGCAGCACTGGTCACAGGGAGATAACAAGTGCTGCTCTTACCTGGTTCTGGCTGCTCGGACCGGCTGTGCCAGCAGCAAGCGCTGCCGCCCCCGCCCCCCGGCGGCGCTTCAGGGCGTCCTGGCCATCCTGCTCTCCCCCCGTGTGGCTGTTTTTACAGCATAAAATAGCTCCGTCCCTCCTCCCCAGCAGTGAACAAATAAATAAATAAGGCTCTTGCGTAAGATGGAGGCCAACGAATGGGGACACATGACTGCTGTGCTGCCGTATCAGGTGGGGGTGGGGGGGTCCTGCAGACACCTCTCCACTTCCAGGAAGCAGTCATTCCCCCACCGTGTGCCACAGCCTCGCCACTTCCTGTGCTGTTTAGCAGCTAGCGGTTACCTCTGCACGCTTTGGGGCTGGGCTTCCTGGCTCAGAGCCCAGCCTTGCTCCTTCCTGGCCGTGTGACCTTGAGCCAGCTACTTGAGCCTCCGTTGTCTTTAAAATGTGGGTAGTAAGGGGCACCTGGGTGGCTCAGTTGGCTAAGTGTCCGACTTTGGCTCAGGTTGTGATTTCACGGTTCGTGGGTTCAAGCCCCAGGTCGGGCTCTGTGCCGACAGCACGGAGTCTGCTTTGGATCCTCTGTCTCCCTCTCTCTGCCCCTCCCTCGCTCTCACTCTCTCCCTTTCAAAAATAAATAAACATTAAAAAAATGTGGGTAGTAAGTAGTGCCCACATGCCTGTGAGGGCGAGTGAGACCACGTGTGGAAGTCCGCCCAGGACAGCGCACAGCACTGCTCTCTGGGAACGAGGTTTGATCAGACTCGGGAGGGTTTGCCGGAATGCTGTGAACTCGAGTGACTCTCATCACGTCCTTTCCATCGTCATGCAGCAGGCTTTTTATTGCCTGTGACATGCCAGGCATGTCCCTGGAAGACTAGTGAGACGCACCCTGACCCCAAGCACAAGTTGTCAGTGGCAACACAAATCCATTCATTCAGCAAGTACCAAAGACGCGGCCGGCATGGTGGAGGCTGACGTTAGCCAGATAATCAGACAAATCATTACAGGGGAGCAGCAGGAGCGCGTGACGGGAGGCCTCCCCAGCCGTGCAGGGCTGTGCAGGGGCGTCAGAGGCCTCTCCGGGGAGGGGGCCTAAGCTGAGAAGGGAAGCACACCGGGACGTGTCTGCAGGATGGGAGGACATCAGACCCGGACGCTGAGAGCCCCGTGTGCGTGGAGGGGTGAGAACAGGCGGGAGGGGAGGCTGCCGACGTGGTCAGCGGCGGGGCAGGTGGGAGAGGAGGGTTAAGCAGACGGCTTGTGATCCTGTTTGTATCTTTTAATACGTGCTGTGCACAGAAGTGTGCAGCCGCAGATGCGGAAGCGGGGGGTCAGTTTCAGCAGGTGAGAAGGCGGCGGGGACCTGGGTCGGGGCAAGTCCGTGGACTTGTGTGCTGTGGAGGGCAGAGCCACGGGGTCCGCTGCGGGATTTGGTTAGATGCTGAGGGGAAGGGAGAGGAAGCACAAAAATCCCTAGACGTTGGGATTAAGGCTGCTGTTCACTGGGGCAGGAGAGGCTGGGCCGACACTGGGTGTGCAGGCGATCCGTTCCCTCCCGGCTGCGAGGTCTAGACACCCACCATGTATGTGGTGCTGCCGAGTTAGACATGGGGCCCAGCCTCAGAAGAGGCCCGGGCGGGAGGCGTCGGTGTGTACTGGGCTCCCTGCGCACACCTGCAGCGTGTGTGGAAGGGCAGGACAAGGAGAGCCCTGCGCCCCACAGCACTGTGCTCACGCCGAGGAGAACCAGGGAGAAGATGTCTCCGGAAGGTCCTGGGCAACTGCGATGAACTGACTGACAAGAACAGAAGCACACGACTGGATCTGGCAACCGGGGGCCTGGCGGGGGGGGGGGCGTGGGGGCTGCCTTGTGAGAGCAGCCCCCAGGGAGAGGTGAGCTCTACAGCTTTACAGGGTGGGGTACGGGGAGGGCACGGGGGGAGACCGGCATCCAGGGAGCGTTCCTGAAGCTTTGTCACGAAGCGCAGGAGAAATGGGCGATGGTGTCTAAGGCGGAGTCCGGCTCCCCAGCAGGACGTGCCCACGGTGCTTGCGGTCACTGCCGCAGCAGCCGGCACCAAATAAATACGGACTTTGTGTACAGCAGTTGGGGAAGTTCTAGAAGGGACTATAGAGCAGTCTAGTGTAAATCCCATACCTTTCCAGTTACTTGATTCCCTGTAACAGATGGTGGTGTATGGCTGAGGTCATCTCATGTTTTCTGGTTCAGTGCTTTGAAAAAATGAACCTTTCTTTTCTAATCTGCTAAACGGATTATCAGTTCAAAGACTGGTGAGGGGAAGCTTGTTTATTTGTCCAGAGACATAGCTCCTAACGAGGGGAGGGGAGATGGGCGATTGAAAACCACAGGGTAGTACTGCAGACTGCTGGGGTTACACAGATGGGGGAATGGCGAGCGCGCGCCCTGAGTGACCCCTGTCCTGTGTGGTGCCCTGACCCGACTTCAAGCCACGCTGGGTCCCACATCAGCTGCGTGGGTTGTAATAAAACCACTTTTTGGGGCGGCATTTAATTTTCTTCCTGTTAAGTACTGTTTCACAAGATTGGTCTGAGTGTCCAGAGATCGGAGCACCAAGCACCATCTGCAAAGAGGCCTTGAGGACGCGAATGTCACCAGCGCCCCGTGCACCCGCAGGACAGGGCAGCAGGGAGCCCCGGGACGCCCCGTGTACCTAGGACGAAGTCCGTCGGTGTCACCCGCGCGGTCCCCGCTGATCCGCAGCAAGTTGACCGTTGGCCCCGGGGCGGGCTCCTCCTCCGAGTCCCCGGCCCTGCCCCGCGCCGCCCTCCTCTGCACCCGCCCCCCCGCAGCTGCACCCCCCCCGCCCCGCCCCCTCCGGCAGGAGCGCCGGCCCCGCCCCGCCCGCCGCCCCGGGATAAGGGCCTGCCCCGCGCCGCCCTCCTCTGCACCCGCCCCCCCGCAGCTGCACCCCCCCCGCCCCGCCCCCTCCCGCAGGAGCGCCCGCCCCGCCCCGCCCCGCCCGCCGCCCGGGATAAGGGCCTGCCCCGCGCCGCGCGCCCGCTGCTCCCCGCGTCCCCGGCCCGGCCATGGTGGAGGCCTGGTACATGGACGAGTCGGCCGGCGACCCGAGGCTGCCCCACCGCGGCGAGCCCTGCCGCCGGGTCGGCCTGGAGCAGCTGCGCCGGCTCGGGGTTCTTTACTGGAAGGTACGCGGCCCGGAGGCGGTCGCCCGCGCGCCCCCCGCACACCCGAGGCGGCGGCGAGGGGGGCCGCGGCTAGGACGGGGCCGGGGAGGGCCGCGCCTGCTCACCCCGGGGTGGGGGGTGGGGGTCGGGAGGTCGGCGGCCCGGGGCACCGCCACACACGCTGGGGAGCGGGGCGCATGCTCAGACCCGGCGGGTGGTCGGAGCCCCGGCCCGCGGCGCTCGCCCGCCTCCAGGGGGCCTGGGCGCCCTGCGCACGCTCGGCGTCGCGGCGGGGATCGGGGGGGCCCCCCGGCAGGACCGCCCCCCCCCCCCGGCAGGACCGCCCCCCCCCGGCAGGACCGCCCCCCCCGGCAGGACCGCCCCCGCCCCCCGCCCCCGCGGGCCCGCTCCGTCCGGGGCCCGAAGGGAGTGAGGTCGCGTCCGCTCGGTACTGAGCTTTGCCCCCGTGCGCAGGCTCGCAGAAGGTTCCAGCCCGACGGTTTAGGGCTCGTCTGGGCTCTTGGGTAAAGGCGAAGCGGGTCTTGTTGGTACCGCCGGTTGAGCAGCGGCAACTTTTTCTTTTTTGTTTAATATATATTTTTAGTTTTTAAGTAATCGCTGCACCCGACATGGGGGCTCGGACTCACAGCCCGGAGGGCAAGAGTCGCGTGTTCTAGGGACCGCGCCAGCCGGGCGCCCCGAGAAGGGTCAGCTTTCAGACCCGAACGGCCTGTTATTTTACCAGTGAAAATGGGTTTATTTAGGAATAGAGAATTGACCCCAACCTAAGCAAACCACAGCCCCTGACAGCGGGGAGGAACGTGGCATTGAAAAGTTGAGGGGGTTGGGAATGCGGGGGAGACCGGGAGCCGGGGTGGCGGTGCCGCCTCTGCGGGGTCGGGGTGCCGGGCGTGGGCGCCCCCTGCCGGCCGCGGCCTCCCCGTGCACGGGCTCCGTTCACTGACTTTCCGGGCGCCTGTGTGGAGGCGGGCCTGGCCGTCGCTCCCTGATAAACAGTTTGCTTTTGTGCCTGCGTCAGTGTTTAGGGAGTGTTGCTCTTTTCCCAGGCCGAGATTTAACACTTAACCTACTAGAAGGTACCGTTTTTCAAACAGTCAAATGGTATATGCAGTGTCTGTTACCAGAGGCAAGTTTTGTTTTCTCTAAAATCGGTTATCCGCAGTCTAAACAAGCAGAAGGTTCAAGTTCCTCTACTTTAGGGGTTTCATTCTGCTTTTTACAGTTTAAGAGCAAGAGTGAGATACTGGTCCGGGCGCCTGGGTGGATCGACTTCGGCCCGGGTCATGACCTCACAGTTCCTGCGTTCGAGCCCCGCGTCAGGCTCTGCGCCGACGGCTCAGACCTGCTCCGGATTCTGTGTCTCTCTCTCTCTGCCTCTCCCCTGATCTTGCTCTTGCTCTGTCTCTATGTCTCTCAATGCTGAATAAAAGTTAAAAAATTTTTTTAAAAAGTGAGTTATTGGTCAACGTGTGAAAGTATCCAAGTGATAAAATACGACATCTTAATAGGCATCTTTTAGTAGTTCTTTGGGTCAGACTCCGTTCCTCCCGCGTTCTAGTTCTGCTGTGGGTAAGTCCAAGGGCTGTAAAAATTAAATTGTTTACTCTATGGTTTTCGAGTCCTGTGTATTCTTTTTTTTTTTTTTTAAGTCCATTTTATTTATTTTGAGAGAAAGAGGGAGAGAGAGAGAATCCCAAGCAGGCTCCACACCATCAGCACGGAGTCCAATGTGGGGCCTGAACCCACGAACTGTGAGATCAAGACCTGAGCCGAATTCAAGAGCTGGAGCTTAACCAATGGAGCCCCCGGCGCCTGGTCCCGTGCACGCTCACGTACCGTCTGCATCAAAACCGTTCTTGATCGTTGGGAACACGTGGAGCATTTTTGCACACCTGTCAGTGACACAGCAGAGTGAGAGCTCACACACGAGGAACTTGAAGTAGAGCAGTATGGTGCGTATCCGGAGGTGGACTGCAAGGCGTCACCTTCGTAGAAATTGATGTGTTGATGACCAGCACCGGAAGATGTTCTGGAGTTCGGGGCACCTGGACGGCTCAGTCCTTAGACATCTGACTTCGGCTCAGGTCATGATCTCACGGTTTGTGAGGCGGGGGTCCTGCCTTAGGTGAGCTGGGCACACTTTGAGTGTGCCCCGCTTCTCTCTCTTTCCCTCTGTCTTCTCCCCTCCTGGGGTTCTCTCTCTCTGCCGCTCACTCACTTGTACCCTCTCTTTCTTTCTCAAAAAAAAATAACATGTTCTGGAGTTTGCTATTCAGTAGTTGTGATGAAATGTGCACCGTACCACAACACGGTGCCGAGGATACTAAACTCACTTCCAACAGTTTGAAGTACGAGCGCAGACTAATTCTGGCGGGGTCCTAGGGGAAGGCTTCCTGACCAACGTGTTGTTAGAATTGGATCTCCTTTTTTTAATTTTTTTTAACGTTTGTTTATTTTTGAGAGAGAGAGAGAGTGCAAGCTTGAGAGGGGCAGAGAGAAGGAGACACAGAATCGGAAGCAGCTCCAGGCTCCGAGCTGTCCGCACAGAGCCCGACACGGGGCTCGAACCCACAAACCGCGAGATCATGACCTGAGCCAAAGTGAAGGTGTTCCATGGTGAAGGAACTTTCCAGGTGTAGGAAGCTGTCAGGAGCAAGGACATGGGGATGTGAGCCATTGGGTGCCCCTTGGAGAGTAGCAAACACTCCTGTTCGCTTGGTCCAGGATGTAGATTAAACAACAACAGCAACAGGGAAAAAGGGGCCCCTGGGTGCTCAGTCCGTTAAGCACCGACGTCTGCTCAGGGCATGATCCTGCGGTTTGTGAGTTCCAGCCCCGCCCCTGGCTCCACATGGACAGTGCCGAGCCCGCTTGGGATTCTCACTCTCTGCTCTCTCTGCTACTCCCCTAATCATGCTTTCTCTCTTTCTCTCTCAATAAATAAATAAACTTTAAAAAGAAAACAAACAGGGAACCGGGGGCCTCATGATGGAAGGCTTCCCAGCCCAGGGCAGTGAACCCGGGTTTTACCTGCAGCCTTCCAGACTGGGAGTGACCAGAGACGTGTGAGGGCTGGCGCTGGAGGACGATGGGGGGGCGGGGGGGTTGGTGCCCTGGGACAGGCTCGCTTGGCTGTGTCACCTGGGCTCCGGCGGTGGGACTTGAACGGTGCTGCAGAACCCGCGGGAAGGACGCTGGGGGAAGGAGGGGGGCGTACGGCGGGTGCGGAGGGTGGGGGCCCGTGAGGGACACAGGAAGGGACTGTTAGGTGGTAAGTCTGGAGCGGAGTCGTGTTGGAGATCCGGGAAGAGTGTCTGTGTTTCCTTGCATTAATGTGGCCTCTTTTTTGTTGCTGTTGAAACTCTTCTAGCTTGATGCTGACAAATACGAGAAGGATCCAGAGTTAGAAAAGATCCGGAAAGAGAGGAACTATTCCTGGATGGACATAATAACGATATGCAAGGATAAACTACCGAATTACGAAGAAAAGGTAAGGGAGCTCCAAATTGTGTGGACAGGAATCATCCTGTTTACTACTAGTAAACACGAGCTTTTCTTTCTTTTTTTCTTTTCATTTTTAAAAGTGTATATTTTTAGTTTGAGAGAGAGAGAGAGAGAGTAAGCAGGGGAGGGGCAGAGAAAAAGGGAGCGAGGATCCCAAGCCGGCTCCACGCTGTCAGCGCAGAGCCCGATGTGGGGCCGGAACTCATGAACTGAGATCGTGACCTGAGCCAAAACCAAGAGTCAGATTCTTAACCTGTTGAGCCACTCGCACATCCCTCTTTTTTCTTTTTCTTTTTTTTAAAAAAAATTTTTTTAAAAATTTTTTTAATGTTTTATTTATTTCTAGGAGAGAGAGAGAGAGACAGCTTGAGCAGGGGAGGGTCAGAGAGAGAGGGAGTCACAGACTGAAACAGGCTCCAGGCTCCGAGCTGGCAGTCAGCACAGAGCCCGACGCGGGGCTCGAACCCACGAACCGCGAGATCATGACGTAAGCGAAAGTCGGACGCTTAACCGACTGAGCCACCCAGGCGCCCCCTTCTTTTTTCTTTTAATGTCTTCGTTTGAGTTTTGTATCAGAGCACTGCTGGCCCTGGAATAAATGGAATTCCCTCCATTTATGTTTCTTGGAACAGTATGTATACAGTGGTTTCATCTTTCCCTTAAATGTTTGGCAGATTCACCAGTGAAGCCCTCTGGGCCTGGAGCTTTCTTTAAAAAAAAATTTTTTTTTTTAAAGTTTATATATTTTGAGAGAGAGAGAAAGAGTGGGAGTGGGAGAGGGGCAGAGAGAGAGAGAGAGAGAGAGAGAGAGAGAATCCCAAGCAGTCTCCACACTGTAACCCTCATGTGGGGCTCGAACCCATGAACCACGAGATCATGGCCTGAGCCCAGATCAAGACTCAGACACTCCACCGACTGAGCCACCCAGGTGCCCAGGGCCTGGAGCTTTCTTTGTGGGAAGATTTTTTAATCTACAAATTCAGTTTGTTTTCTAGATACAAGACTGTCCTGATTATCTGTGTTTTCTTTTTTTTTTTTTTTTTAATGTTTATTTCTGAGACAGAGAGACAGAGTGAGCGGGGGAGGGGCAGAGAGAGAGGGAGACACAGAATCTGAAGCAGCTCCAGGCTCTGAGCTGTCAGCACAGAGCCCGACACGGGGCTCGAATCCATGAACCGTGAGATCATGACCTGAGCCGAAGTCGGATGCTTAACCGACAGGGCCACCCAGGCGCCTCTGGATTATTTCCTGTTTTTGTGGAGGGACCGCGTCCACCCCAGTCCAGGCCTGTGAGGGCGGGGCTGGTGGCTGGACCTGCTGAGCTGGTGACGGGCCGGGCGGTTCCCCTTCCTTCTAGATCAAGATGTTCTACGAGGAGCACCTGCACCTGGACGAGGAGATCCGCTACATCCTGGACGGCAGCGGCTACTTCGACGTGAGGGACGCCGAGGACCGGTGGATCCGCATCTCCATGGCGAAGGGAGACATGATCACCCTCCCCGCGGGCATCTATCACCGCTTCACGCTGGACCAGCAGGTAGGAGCCCGTGCGCAGATGGGGGGCTCGCGGCACTGTCCTGGGGGCGCCCCTGCAGCTGCGGGAGCTCGTTGGCGGGGCCCCTCGGGAGAGGCCGGCGGGAGCCTGGGGGCCGCATGCCGTCCGCGGGCAGGCAGGAAGTGGTCCCGTCTTTAAGGACAGAGCACAGTGTTGAGTGTAGGGGTGCAGCTTGCTGGGCGTCTCCGGGGTATTTGCTACTCGGTCACTTTCCGAGCGTTTCCGTTTGGATCGTAACCGTAGTGCGATGCCAGCCCCGGCGTGAGGATCGCGGTCAGCTCGGACCTCAGCGGGTCCTTAGGTTCCCTGGGCGGGGTTTGGACCAGCCCGGCGAGGTAAGTTGTTTCCAGACAGAAACTGAAGGCATGTGGTGTGAACCCAGGATTCTGGAAGGGTGTGCAGTGGACGCTTCCTCGTCCCCCGCTGCCCGGCCCGTGGCCCCCCCGAAAGGGCAGGCCTTGCGCCTGTCCCACCGAGCAGATGTGACCCCTACGCTGGCCGTGCATCGTGCTGTGACGAGTGACCTTACGCGTGTGTCACTGCACGGATGTGAGTGTGTCACTGGGGTAAACTGCCCTGAACGGTACACACGTAATCCGGGGGGTGGCGGCGAGCACACAGGCGGGCGGGTCGGTGCCGGTTTGCGCAGCCCGGACACCCACGGAGGGGCTTCAGCGCGGGACCGCGGCGCCGCCTGTGTCCTGAGTGGGGACCTGTGGCCCCGACAGCTGACGGAATAAATGTGGCTGCGCGTTAAGACGCGGGAGCAGACGCCGCCGGGACAGAGGCCCCGGAGGCTGGCTCAGCGGCTCCTTGTGTTTGTCTTCTAGAACTACGTGAAGGCCATGCGGCTGTTTGTGGGGGAACCGGTGTGGACGGCGCACAACCGGCCGGCCGACCACTTCGACGCTCGCAGGCAGTACGTGGAATTTTTGGCGCAGTCGGCGTAGCGGCTCCCTGGGCTCGCTCGCCCTTCGCGCTGGGGACGCCCTGCGCGTGGTCACAGCAGAACACTGTCCCTCTTGCTCTGCCGCCGTCGACGGGGCAGGAGAGCTGGCCTCTGCGAGCTCATCTGATCCTCGGGTGTTTTGATGAAAGGAGCTTTTCCTACCAGTGATTTTTACATGTTAGCAGCTTTGGGATGTGGGCAAATCACACTGTGCCTGATTCGAGCTCCATGTGTCCGCGCGCTTGATTTTGACCCAACGAAGCGTCTCCCAGATGTGAGCGCCGCGCCGGACCCGGGGCTGGGACGGTGGCAGGTGTCACGGGCAGGCGGCCGGTCAGCTCGGGGACACTCTCCTCCCAGAACTGGGTGGAGACTGTGGTCGGGGGCGAGCTCTCACATTCGTGGGGACACTCACTTCCTCGTTGGGCACGAGGGAGCTGCCCCGTTCTGTGCTCTGGGCTCGGAGCCCGTATTCAGGAAAGTGGCGCATTAAAGCCGCCGTCAGATACTTCCCATGGCTGTGGTCGTTCCTTCATGCGTGTGACTAGTTTGTATTTTATCCGTGTTAGTGTTTGTTCACTGAGATTTCCAGGTGGTTTTCCCTGGTAACACTTTTGCCAGCAAGTATTTTTTTTTTTTTTTAACAGGAAAACTAGGACATTATCTTTTTCCTCAATAATTCTGAGATACGATTTTGCCCAATTTGTTATAGTAATAGACCCCAAATCAACCTCTTGTTTTGATGGACAGATTGTTTTAAAGTGTTTTTAAAAACAGGTTAAAAATCTTCATGTTAAAATTCATTTTTTTTAATGTTTTATTTATTTTTGAGAGAGAGAGAGAGACAGAGAGAGAGAGAGCACGAGCATGAGCATGAGTGGGGGAGGGGCAGAGAGAGAGGGAGACACAGAATCCGAAGCAGCTCCAGGCTCTGAGCTGCCAGCACAGAGCCCGACGCGGGGCTGGAACTCACAAACCGTGAGATCATGACCTGAGCCTAAGTCGGACGCTTCCACGACCGAGCCTCCAGGCGCTTCGCCGCGTGTCCCCTGTTCAAAGGCGTGGAGTGCTTATCCGGCCGTGTTAAGTGACTGCCATACTGACCGGTCAGGACGCAGGCGGGGACCTTCCACTGGCTCACGTGCTGGCCTGACAAAGACATACCCATTTTTTCCTTATTCCTTCTTAGCGCAGGTGACGCTGGGAGCGGCTGGCCCCGGGCCCTGCGTCAGTGTTTAATCCAGGGACTTCCCAGCCTTGTGCTGGGACCCGGATTAACCACGTGGCCCCAGGATACTCAGCCGCCTGGAATCTAGGCTGTAAGAGTCTTACTCGCCTGGGGCTCTTCCTCCCTCGGTGGCTTTGTCCCGGCTCCTGAGTGAAGGGGGTCCTCTCTCCAAGTTCCACTCTCTTCCTGCCTCCGTCTTCGTCCCCGTCTTTATGCAGAAGGGCGAGCCGGCCAGGGCGGAGGGGCCCCGCTGGGTCAGCGTCAGGAGAGCTCGGCGCACACTCTGCTCTTTCTGCCCTTCAGTGAGAGTTCCCGCCTGTCACTTGGCATCCACACCCCCCACTTTGAAGACCCTGAGTCCGCACAGAAGTGAAGGATCAAAGGGGCGCCTGGGTGGCTTAGTCGGTTAAGCGTCCGACTTTCGCTTAGGTCATGATCTCGCGGTTCGTGGGTTCGAGCCCCGCGTCGGGCTCTGTGCTGACTGCCAGCTCAGAGCCTGGAGCCTGTTTCGGTCTGTGACTCCCTCTCTCTCTGATCCTCCCCTGCTCATGCTGTCTCTCTCTCCTAGAAATAAAACATCAAAAAAAAAAAAAAAAAAGAAGTGAAGGATCACAGTTGGCATGTTGGGGGGTGTGGGGGTCCCCCCCCCAGAGGAGCCGTCAGCTTCCTTGACGTGCCTTGTGACGCGCCTCCACCTCCGCTTGGCTCCACGCGCTGCCGAGCGCTACACCTCCGTTACGAGACCACACTGCTAGGTTTAATTCTTACATCAAAGTCGTGCTGTGAAATACAGAAACGTCCGATACTGATCTCCCCTGAGTGAGTTGTGCTTTGCTTACAAACAAAGCCCACATTTTTAAGTTTATTTTTGGGGGAGAGAGAGAGAGAGAGAGAGATGGGGGGAGGGACAGGAAGGGGGAGAGAGAATCCCAGGCAGGCTCTCCGCTGTCAGTAGTGAGCCAGATACGGGGCTCGAACCCACGAACCTGACCTGACACCAAGCGTCGACGCCTAACCAGCTGAGCCACCCGGGCGCCCTACGAAGCCCACATTGAATCTCACGCTCCGTCCTTGCGCGGCTTCTGTTCGGGCTCAGCAGTTTCTTCCAGGGGTTCACGCGGCTGCTTCTCACCCTTGACACGGCTCCTGTCTCCCCAACACCCCCAAGCCTGCCCGCAGATGTCCCCGCCTTCCTGTCCACGGTGCACGGGCCCTGCGTGTCCGCGGACGCCGGGGTGGCCGCCACGGACCTGGGAGGACACACCTGCCTTTTACCCCCAGGGCTACGAGCCCCCGACGGCCTTCAGCCTCCTGCGGGTCGTTCTGGCAGGAGCGAGGGTTCAGTCTGTCGAAGGAGCCAAAACTTTTCCCAGTAGAAATGCAAACACGGGCAGCAGGGAATCACACCCAGTCACGCCCACCCACAGTGCAGTGTTCCCGCGCTCTTACACACCCATGCACACGTGGGTGCTCACGCTTTTACAGACGCGGCCGGGTCAGTTTCCGGAGCCCAGCCCAGCTGAGGGGGCCCCTGGGGCCCCTGAGCTCCTCAGACCGTCTCTGCCTGTGCCTCCCGACAGCCGTGCTCATGAGGTGGCGAGTTCTGCCGATGGCGTTTTCCGGACGCCAGCGACGTTTGTGCCTGCAGATGCCTGACTAGCTGTGTGAGCGCACACCGCTGCCTGCCCGGGCTCTGCGCCTGCAGCGAGCGGCTCTGGCCGGGAGCCTGGGGCCCAGGAAAGCTGACGGAAGTGAGCACTTCTGTGGTGGACGGGCTGGCTGGCGGGGGGGCCCGGCCGCGGGGATGGGGCCACGGCGGGGGGCGGGAGGGCCCGGCGTGGGGTTGCCAAACAACTTGCCAGCAAGGGCCTTGCCCTTCCCGGTGCCCGATGTCGGGTGGACGGGGCGGCCGGGGGTGACCCGGAATCTGCCGTCACACACGGTTCACAGAGTTAAATTCAGATGGGACCTGAAAACAGTCATTTTGGTGAAAGGTGTTTTTTTTTGGAAAGAGTGCTGTGTAAGAGCTTCTAGAAGCCTCAGATATTTTCAGGACTTGCACAAAGAAGTTAATTACAGAAGACGTCCACCATTCTAACATCGAAGATTGAACGGCAGGAAATGAAGGGCTCCCTCCGTCTGAGGCTGCTCTGGGCCTGAAGGGGGAGAACATTCTCTACAGCCTGAGCCGGAGGCCTGAAGGTGCCGCCGTGGAGACGGGTAGTTGCTCATTTTAGAAGGTGACACGGAACCGATGCAGGACGGGTCACCCTGTGGCCCCTCCGCCTCTTGGAGCAGACGCTGCATCTGACGTCACTCAGATTCCTAGAGCTGCGGGTCTGGTCTGCCCGCTCCCCCCTCCCTTCTGCTGCCCGGGGGCGGGGGGGGGGCCCGGCAGTATCTGCACCCCGCCCCCTGCGTGAGGCCTGAGAGCCCCCAGCTCGGGCCGTAGTGGGCGGCCTTGCCTGTCCAGGGTGAGTGTGGGTGCCGGGTCGTATGTGTACTTGATCGCATTTGCTTTAAAAAGTTTTTATTTTAGTGTGAGTGCACGCGGGGCGGGGGGGGAAGGAGAGAGCGAGAGGGAGAGGGAGGGAGAGGGGGAGAGAGAGAGAATCCTGAGCTCAGGATTGGAATCCACACTCAGCTTGGAGCTTGACTTGGGGCTCCATCCCGTGACCCTGGGATCACGACGTGAGCTGAAGTCAGGAGTCCGACGCTGGCCGACTGAGCCGCCCCGACTGCACGTTCTAAAGCCCGGGCGGGGCTCTGCGGTCTGCGGTCGCGCCGTCTGAGAACAGTCTGGGCGTCCAGCCTGCCCGCTGGTGCCTCCCCTCGGGCTTGCCTTCCTCTCCTCGGTGAGTAAAAGACGACCCTTCGTCATTCTCCCTTCGTCCCACACTTAAAAAGCCCCTCCTCTGTGCTCGCTCAGGTCCAAGTGTCGGGGACAGAAGGGGAGGGGCGGCGCCGGGTTCATCTGGGTAAAGTCACGTTGCGTGGGCCTCACTACACGTGCGCTGAGACCGTAGGCAGAGCTCCCGGACTTGCACTTGCGCTGCGCAGCCCACGGCGCCCCCAGCCCTCCCACCGGCCCTCGGCTCGGCCTGTCGGAGACGCAGCGGGCAGTGTGCTGGGGGGGGTCTGCCTGCAGGGTGCTGACAGCCTGAGGGGCCGGGCTGCTGCCAGGGGCGGTCACCTTGCCAGCAGGGGAAGAAGGAGCCTCGGGCCGTGTGGGTGTGGCTTTGTAGGTGGCGGTGAACTTGCTGCCTTCCTGCTGTTGCCTAAACCGTTGGTCTCGTCCGGAGCTTTCCGACTGATTCTCTGGCGGGTGCGGATTTCGGATTAACCGTAAATCCTGAACAGCGGTGCCTCCCTCCTCCCAGAAGGGTGCTTTGGGGGGTCAACAGTTTTGAGAAATAGAAACAAATGGAGTGAGAAGACGGGACGAGCTTGTCTACCCCCCGCCCCCCACGCAAACCGGGAGGGGAGGGGCAGGGGCGGGAGTGTGTCCGGGAAGCTGGGCATCCCCGGCCCCGGGCATCGGGAGCGTGAGCCCCCTGCCCGACAGTCGCCCGTCCGCAGGCCTGCGGTGCCTGGCTCGTGTGCTGTGAGCCCCCGGGGGGCGACCGTGTGGTGGAAGATGAGTCCCCGGTGTGTGCGTGGGGGCGGCTGGCGGCCGCAGGAGGCGCTAGTGGTCGAGTCCCGGGTGCGGCTGAGGCTTTAGCCCTGGTGACCCGTGTCCATCCAGGGCAGGGCCCCGGCTCCCAGCTGTACAGCGTTCGCGACGCGAGCGCCTCTGTTGCCTGTGCTGCAAGTGACGGAAGCCCGCGTGGACCTTCTGCCCGGAGCACGAGGGACGACGGCCGACACGCGGGCGCAGCTGGGTGACGGGCTGCCCTTCCTGCAAGTTGGTCTCACTCTCTTGTAAGAAAGACGTGTCCTCACAGCGGGACGTGGCGGCTCTGCACCTGCCCGCTCTGGTCCCCAGGCCTCCTAGGGAGGGCTCCCCGTGGCCGCAGCCGGGTCGCGAGCCCTGATGAGGGGGACATGCTGCCCCCAGGCTGCGAGGGGCCAGGCACCTCAGAGGAGGGGCGGCCGGGGGGCGGGTCACCCCCACGCCGTGATATGTGCGCGGAAGCCCTGCACGCTTGGAGCCGCTGGCGCAGTTGAGCCACGGCGGAACTTCCAGATGGACGGGGCGCCGGAGCGGAGGGAACGGTGGCCTGGGGCCCCTGCCGGAGGAGCAGACCCCGCCTCACAGTGCGCCTCCCTGGCCGCTGGGGCCC